AGAGGAACACAACGCAATAATATTGGCTCAAAAAGAAAGCTTATAAACTTTAATAGAGTAAACAGTAGTAAAGTTGTTGCTGTTCACTTTTTGTTTCTGCTGCTCTCAAGAACCACCAATTCACAGAAAGAGAAAGAAAACGAGAGCTAACCTTAAGAGGAGAGAAAAAAACATCAAAAAGCAACATTAATATCGAGTAGGAAATACGAAAAGAGTATCCCGAAGAAGACAACAACGATGGACGGGCAATTACTTGTCTGTGCTCGATATTTTACCGTGTTTGGTTATCCGCTTAGCCTCCAGTTTCCATTCGGTTTTATGAGTGTGAAGACAAGGCCAAGGAGGTTATTGTTGTTGGTATTTCAGTAATTCGAATCACTAACAAAATCCAAAGTAAAAATATAAAGTTGCTTTACTCGCCTCTCCACTCCAGCTAACGCACTTTATGGGGAGGAGACCGGGAAACACACAAACTTTAAAACATTTAATAGCCATCAAGGGGACGTAATTTTGATAAAAAAAATACAAAATCTTTGCTTCGAATATATGTTTTGAACGATAGAAGAACAAATATAAACGAATTGATTCTAGAAAACCATCCGTAATTTTTAAATAATACTTTGAAGGACTCATCAAACGACAGGCCACCACCAATCAAGCCACAGCAGCCAGAATCCATTATGACCAAAAATACCAATTTTTTCGGACAAATCCGTGAAAAATGTGGGAAAATTCATCAAAAATACCGAACATTGGGAGGTACCTTTATAGGGGGCAATACCAAAACGTGGACCTATATATCTCATTTTTAATACCAACCATCCTAGACACAATACAAATTATTCTGCTACATTTTGACACTCTATGCAAATAATGTGGGCTGTATCGTTATTTCAACAATCAGACAGGCAGACAGATGGACATTGTTAAATCGACTTAGAATTTTATGCTGATTATTAATATATTTATTTATTATATTTATTTATTTATGGAATCACAAAATCCTTTCCAAGATGAAGGGTATAAAAAATTGTTTGAAGGACCCTTAAAGCCAAGAACCTTAATTTCTAATAGAATTTTTATCAGGAGTATTAAGCAGGATTTTTTAAAGAATATTTTTTCCAGAAGTCCAATACGTGGATATGGATTTAAGGAACATTTTGTTTTATATGTTCCAAGGCTATTGAAGTGGATTTAAAAAATGTCTTTTTTTTAAAGATATTCCTTGTTTAGAACGTGGATATTTTAAAATATTTTATTAAAGACAAACAAGGTTATAAGGTAGATTTTTGATATATTTTCATAGGACCGTCTATAAAATAAGTTTTATGAAAAGCTATAAAATTGGACTTCCAATAATGTTTTTTAAGAAGTGTGAAAGCTATAATCTTTGTTTTTTAAAAATAATTATATTCAACAAGGTAGTCTCTAATCGGGATTTTCCTGAAGTATTGTCAAGGGTCATAAGGGGTATTAACTTGAGTTTTATAGCTATAGCTTTTCTAGGGGGATTTTTTAAAAATATTTTTTCTATAAGGCTAACAATTCTTATTTTTATAAAATATTAAAAAAATATATATATTTGTTACGGCAATAAATATATTTTATAACTTTTTTGGTTCAAAAAGGCTATAAACTGAGATTTTATCAAATACAAAGGGTAAGATGAAACAACTTCAACCAACTTCTAAGCCACTCATCCGACAGCTGTTAAAATTATTCCATTGACAGCTCATTATATTATTTACAAGCGTACAAAAGCATTTTGGTGAGAATTTTCCAGAAGAAAAGTTATTCGTGATGGAATTCAAGCGTGATATTGTGATTTATTTATATTTGGCTGGAAAACCACAAGTGGCCATGGTTAGAGCACCCCATAATTTAAATGCGAATAAATCTCTTGTGTCTTGTAACATCACTCGTTACCGTGATACTGGTAGCGTAGCCCGACGTCAAGGAAGTGGACGGAAGAAAACAGCAACATCAGCAGTAGAAATGGTTCGAAAAGTAAAGAAGCGACTTGATCGAAATCCGCGTCGCAGTGGCCGACAAATGGCTCGTGAGCTGAACATATCGCAATATTCCATTCGGCAAACATTGAAAAATGTGTACCTTCGGTTGGGCACCAGAACTCAAGCGCCTGCCATGGTGATGGTGTGGGCCGCCATAACAGCCGATGGTCGATGTCCGCTCGTATTAATCAACTGTGGCATTACAGTAAATGCCGAATATTATCGCGAAAATATTTTGGAGGGTGTATTAATGCGTTAGTCACGCAAACATTTGGCCGCAGACCTTGGAAATTCCAACAGGACTCAGCACGCGCCACCCAATAATGGTTACAAAATGAGAATTCTCGCTTCATTTCCAGCGCACAATGGCCACCAAAGTATCCGGATATCAGTCCTTTGAACTACTGTGTCTGGAGTATTTCGGAAAGCAAGGATGGCACTAAAAAATACCAGAGTGTCGATTACCTCAAGCAAGCGGTTCTCCGGGCCAAAATACTGCAGAGCAATATTCGGGCAGCGTGTGTTTGTTTCATTGGCCGTTTGAAGGCCATAATTCGTGCCAAATATGACCAATTCTAACAAATCTAAACTTATTCTAAAACTTGATGTTATTCCCGACATTTTTGCTTTCATTCAATAAAATTAAAAAAAATGTAAAAATTATGGAGTTTGTTTTTGTGGATTTTTGTATCTCACCCTGTGCATATCTTCATCCGATTTCAATTTAATTGTCCGCAAAATATGTAATATTCCTCCAAATAGGAAGTATTTCGGCACAAATACAAATAAATATATCTAATTTTGTGAAAATCCGATCAACTATAGCTCCCATATTAATTTTTCATCCTTCACATTCGCAATATGCACTCCAAATCAACGATATTTCGTGATAGCTTTCAGGTATTGAATGTAAACATTTCATTAATGTTAGAGACATAAGTTCCGATTTAGATATAGCTCCAATATATATCTTCATCCGATTTCATGATATATACTCATCCGATTTTGGTGAAAATCGGTTCAGTCACAAATGTCTCCGTCTAATTTACCGGAAACCGATTCACAGTAGGATATAAGTTCCGTTCATAGCTGATATGACCTACTCCTCATAAATTCCTTATGCAATTGCTTATTTATATAAGCATAGTGGTTTAGGGTATCATAAAGTAAGCCCCACCCGACTTTTGACCTTTCTTTACTGGTTTTTAAATATTTTTTCAAAGAATATCAGAGAAGTATTCATATTTTTTGAAAAATTGTCAGGTATATTGGGTTTCTTTAGTATATTTCGTTAGGGAATTTCAAGGTCAAAATCGCGGGTTTTGAAGGGAGGGATTATGGGGGCTTTATTCGTGTGATTATAAGGTATATTTTCTAAGGCAATGTAAATACCATAATCGTGGGCTTTCAAAGCATAGTTCTTGAGAGTTTTTCAGGGCTATAATCGTGTGGTTTAAGTATATTTCGTGTGGGACTGATAGGACCATAGCAGTTAATGTTCATGATTTTTGCAAATTTTAGAAATATTTTTTTAAAGGACTGTCCATGGTATAGTAGAAAATATTTTAGAAATATTTTCTAATTTTTATACCCTCCACCACAGAATGGAGGGTATATTAAATATGTCATTCCGTTTGTAACGCCTTGAAAGGCATATTTTAGTCCCCACAAAGTATGTATATTGTTGATCAGCATATAATTGGATGTCAATTTAAAGATGACCGTCCGTCTTTCTGTCATTTTTATAAGTTTCATATTTGAACTTGCCTATGCAAGTCCACGCCTTAGTGTAGACTGACACTCCCTATATTTTATGATTTTTACAGTATTTTTCAAAGTATTTTTTTTAGTTTCCAAATTCTTTCCAAATGGTGGATGGTATTCAAAATTCGACCTGGTCAATTTAGCGATGTTCGTCCGTCTGTCCATCTATGGAAATCACTCTAGCTTCCGAACGAACTGAAGTATGTTGATATTACTCAAATGTATATTATATCTGCAGGACGTTTGGTGTTGAAAATGGTACATGGCCCATTTCCACGTTTGGTATAGCCCCCCATATAACGGTACCTCCCGATATTCAATATTTTGATGATTTCAGCGACAATATTCATCGGAATTCTTTCAAATTTGGTATTTGATGTTCGTAGTGGATACTACAGCCTGAGACAGAAAATTGTCTGTGCAGGTCAACGTCTTCGTATAGTCCCCCTCTAATGGTACCTCCAAATATTCGGTATTTTGATGATTTTAGCGACATTATTCACCGGAGTAGTTTTCGTATTGGCTCCATATGTCAGTACCTCCCTGCATTTGGTATTTTGACGATTTTAGGTACAATACCCACCGAAATTGTTTAAGTTGTCGTATTTGAAGTTCGTAATAGATGCTACACCCTGTGACAGAAAATTGTCTATGCAGGTTCAGGTCTTCGTATAGCTTCGAGATAACGGTACCTCTCCATATACGGTATTTTGAAGATGCTACATTATACCCGTTTATAATATGGTAATGGCTTATAACAAACAATGCTTATGTAGGTCCATGTCACATCGACCCCAATATAACGGCTATTTTCGGTATTTTTAAAATTTTAAAAGAATTTTTAAGGATTTTCTTTTTTGAAAATTTCTAAATTCGTTCCAAATGGTGGAGGCCGAACTTTTTTTACTTTTGTTTACTTTTTTAAATTCTAAACTATTTTTAAGTCAAAATTAATTTTTTAATTGTTTTTAACTTAATTACTTTGTAAAAATTATTATCCTTTTTTACATTACCCAAATTAGCAGAATATTTCCAACTACTAATTTCAATTTTTATTTTTAAATTCCTATCTTTAATAAATTGCAAATATTTTTTAATTTAATTTATATATGATATTTATTCTGCAACAAATACTCTGGAGAGTCATTGGAAAAATATTTCATTCGAAAAAAGAAAGAAAAAAAAAAACACAAAAAATTCCGATGAAATGAAATGCAAACTCACCCAGATTTCCTGCGATAAAGGATTCATAAAACTGAATACGCCCGGCGTTTGTTTGACTGGTTTTTTAATCATTATCGAGATGCCCAGCGACATAAATGGTTTGCTAAAATCAATGACACGTTCACGTTCGGCAGTAATTGTCATGGCAGCAATGGCAATATCCGCTTCCTGTAATAAATACAGACAGAGACACACAGTGAAAAAAAAAAAAAAAAACACACACAATCACACATGTGGTATACTCTCAGACGGAAAGGTAAAAAAAATAAGTAAACGTGTGAAAAATAGGATTTTTTTAAATGGAAATAAAAATAATAAACTAAAGGTGTAAAGCTTTGCAAAGTTAAAAAAGGAAAATAATTTAAGACCACACTTACCCTTCGCACCAGTTCCCCCACCATACCATCCCAACCACCTTGGATTTTGGGATTTTCCGAGCCATACAAATTATCCTTAACCAAACGCATCTCATCTGCAGCAGTGGCGAACAGGTAAGGACGATGATGAAAATGAGTCCACATGAAAGAAAAACCAGACAGGAGGGGGCAAGCGTTAATGATGGATGTTTAAATTAAATAACATTAACGAAAAAAAAACCGGACCACGCTGCATCAGAATGGGGCACGTGACCGCACGTGCGAGTGACACCACCATCGCCGATACCTCTCCAATTGCATGGTTCGGTTATTATAAATGCTTGTTTATACTTACAATTAATGCCAAGCCTTTTGGCCAGCAAATCAGCCAAGTCCTTACAATAGCCCTCAAAACGATCATTACCCTCCAGTGTTTCCCCACCAATGGGTCGTTTCTCCATTATGTACGGCTCCTCGAGCACTGTCGTCACAATATATGTGCGATTTTTCTCGATTTCAGCGTGGGGTTTCAGGCGAACATATTTCGCTGAGAGGGGTTGCAGGCCGGCCTCATCACTCCATTCGGCCACCTTGACCATGGCACTGTTAACAGTCATTTCGACGACATGCAGGGTATAGTTAACACGTCGCCCATCATCATTGAATTTTATGTCACCGGTCAGACCTTCAATTTCCACCTGTAATGAAGCAGAAGAGAAATTGATTGGAGTTCTGTGGAGAAAATCGAGAGCAAAAAAGACAGCAACAAAATAAAAAAAACGAACCGGAAAGCCATGGCAACACAAGTCCTTCAGCTGAGTTTCATAAAGGCACTGGGTGGAGTATATTTATATGTGGTGGGAGTTGCTATAATATGTATTCGTGTGTGTGTGTGCGCCGGCTTCCTTAGCCAACCCATCCAGGAAGTAACATTAAATGAACGGATACCGAAAAAATGCTGGGAATTAAGTAAACGGTAAATGACACATCAATTAATTTTTATTGAGCCTTTCAGACAATTTCTTCTTGCCAGCGAAATGACAAACCTTGGAGCTGAGTTGGACTATCATCCTCTGCAGAGAGAGAATATGAGCGACAATTCAAGGCTATCATTATGCCAAGAATATTTAAAATAGCAAACTTTACTCAGGCTCTTTAATGATGCCAGACACGTTCCGTTTGCCATGATTGGGTTAAGAAAATATTTAAATTTATCTTTAAAACAACAATTTTGTGTGGAAGGCATGGAAGATAAGGTAAATTTTTTCCAAGGACTTTCGTATCAGAAAACGTGGAATTTTTATAAATAAGTTTTACACGACACGAGGGATAAACATTAAATTTTAAACCTATTTGGTCGGCGATCCATAAATCTAAAATCGTTGATTTTTTGGGCTCGTCTTTTTCAAGGACTATAAACGAGACGTTATTGAGAAAATTTTCCAAGGGCAAAAAAAAAAACAATTTTTTAGTATTTTTCTGAGGTGAATTTTTAAGAAATATTTATTCAGGATGCAAGGAATATTTTTATGTTTTGAAGAAATACGTGGATTTTAAACAAATATTTTCGGAAGGAATACATTTCATAATGAATCTGTTTTAATAAAATTTTTCGAGTCCCAAAACCTGAACTTTTTAAGGATCAGATATAATTTTTTTCAAGGGTCAGACATAGAATTAATAAAAATATAAAAACTAAAATTGGAATATTTTGGGAGAATTTTATAAAAGACCAAAAATAGGCTTTTTGAGGACATATTTTCAACGACTACATACGGACTTTTCAGGAGATTTAATAAATGAAACATGACATTTCTCGAAAATTTCTTAAGGATTAAAAGCTCCTTTTATTCAATTTTATAAAGAACCAAACATGAAATGAAAAAAAAAAAAAAATAAGAAGCAACTAAGTTGGGACATTTTGAGAAAAATATGTAGTTGAACTCTTCAGGAGGTCGTTCTTTTTTATTTTATTGACTAATTTTAAAGAACCATACGTGAATTTTTTATAGAACATTTTTAAGATTTTTTAAAAAAAATTGATGGAAACGAGGACCAAATGTGGACTTTTTTAAACAATTTAAAGACATCCTTTACAGACGTTCTTTAAGTGCTGAAAGTGAATTATTTTCTTTAAAAATGTCTACATTTGGTTCTTCAAAAAATAAAAAAAAATTCCATGGATTAAACGTTAAATTTAAGGAAGTACATATTTTCAGATACCTCCATATTTTTGTTATTTTTTAACTTGAGAAATGGTTGTTTGTCGGCCTTTTTATCTTATTTTAAAGGAACATATTCCACTTATGGAGGTAATTTATGGAAGAGTCAGATTGATTTTTGTGGCCTTTTAAGAATATTTGTGAAGGGTTCCTTAAAAAAACATATTTTAAAGGACTCATATAATATGAAAAATTTTTTTTAAGGACTCTACGTGGATATTGTGTAGACATTTTTTGAAGAAACCAACGTGGATCGATGGCTTTTCAAGAAGATCGGAATTTTTTATAGAAGTTAGCTGCTTTTTTAATTCATTTTATTTATTTCATGTATTTTTTTATTTCAAGGACACAATGTGAGTTTTCAAGGACCAGTCATGGATTTTTATGAAAAATTTCAGTAAAAGGACTGCAATTTTTTAAAGACCTAAATTATTTTTTGGTTGTACTAGGAGAGAGGGACTCAAGAAAGTTTTTTTAACGGACCTTTAAGTCTCTCAAATCTATATTTGTGGATTTTTCGGAATATTTATTGGGGAACACTCAGACATATTATTATGAAATAGTTGTTCTTTTTTAAAGCATATTCGGAATTATATATTGGAAAAAGCCTTAAAAATATTCTCTAAAAATTTAAGAATATATGTCTGAGAATTCATCAAAAATATTAAAAAAAAAACTCAATTAATAAAGATCTAAGAGTCCTTAACAGAATTCTTTTTTAAATTTCACAATTAAGAACCATAATGTCCTTAAACAATTAAAAAAAAAATAGAATTCATGATTTCAAATCTCACAGTTAAAAAAAGAAATAAGAAACCACGAATATAGGTCTGAGACCCCTTAAAATTTTTTTTTAAAACTCCATTATTAAACTTATGTTTTTAATGGAATTTAAAAAAAGTATTCTTCCGAGGCATCTGAGATCAAAAAAAAGCTGTAGGTTCGGCAGGGCCGAACTTTGAATACCCTCTACCATTTGGGACAATTTTAACAATTTAACAATTTTCAGAAAATAAAATCCGTTAAAAATTCTGTTAAAATCTTAAAAATACCGAATGTAGCCGTATATTAGGGTCTATACGACGACGTGGACCTGCATAGGCAACTTTTGTCACAAGCTAATACAATATTCAAATGCGAAACTTAAAAAAAAAACTATTTATGATGTAGCTAAAATCATCGATATATATATAGTGGGAGGTACCATGGTGGTTCTAAAACGTGAACCTCCACATACAACTTTCTGACATAGGCTGTAGTATTCATTAAGAACTTCAAATACTAAATTTGAAACAGTTCCGGTAAACAATGTCGCTAAAATCATAAAAATACCGAAAATATGGAGGTACCGTTATATGGAGGCTATACAAAGACGTGGACCTACATGGCCCATTTTCTGTCTTAATCCGTTGTAACTATTACGAACTTCAAATATTAATTTTGGAACAATTCCGGTAAATAATGTCGCTGAAATCATCAAAATACCGCATATCGGGAGGTACCGTTATATGGGGGCTATACGAAAACGTGGACCTACATGGCCCATTTTCAATACCAAAAGTCCTGCAGTCATAATACACATTTGAGTAAAATTTTATCAACCTACTTCATTTCGTTCGGAATCTAGAGTGATTTCCAGGAGTGATTTCGAGGAGTTACAAACGGAATGACAACTTAATATACCCTCCATACTTTGGTGGAGGGTATAAAAAAATCAATTTATAGATTTTTTTTTCAATATTTTTTGAAGAATTCTCAGACGTATATTCTTGAATTTTTAGAGAAATTTTTTGATATTTTTTCCGATATATAAGTGCGGAGTTTTAAGTATTAACTTTTCAGAGGCCTTTTAGGCTTTCAAGTGTGGACTTTTGAAGGGTGTCTTTTTGGAAGAACTATCAAAAGCATTACTGGATACACAATTTTGGCCTTGACAATTTTTTTCTGAAGGATTGAAAAAAAAAAAAAACGATGTAGTGCACTTTTTAAATATTTTTTCCGAAGGACTTTTAGATCAACTGCCGTTATTTTTGATGAATATATTGTAATTGGTTCTCAATTGAAAAGTAATTGCTATTTAAAGAATATTTTCGGAACGACCATAAAAAGGTTTGCCGTACCGATATTCGTAGATTTTAGAATATCTTCTGAAAATATGCAAAATTTTCCTTAAATATTAATGTATCCTTCTCATATAAGCTTTATAGAAAAGCATTAGGTTTTTTACTATTTGCTCACTTTTTCTCCATCTTTTCCGGGTGTGGAGTTTTCCCATTTGCATAAATTTTGTAAAATTATTCATGGAAATTTTTTCCACTGTTTTCCTCTAGATTACTCCACCCCAAAACACACACACAACCACCTCTGGCGAACTCATACTCATGACTGTCGATGCCGTTGTTGTTATTTTTGTAGTCTCGATTTTATTTCGGTTTACTTACCTTTCTCAAATAGCGTGAAATTTTATCACCATGTTCCCAGGGGGTAACCCAACCCTTGCCGGTGTTACAGTCCAGTGGACGTGAAGCGCTATTACTGCCACCGCCTCCGCCACCCATGCCGCCGCCCCCGCCACCATTCTGCGAGCCAGCCATTAGGCCGCCAGCATTTGATAGACCTGAAGCATTAGCGGATGTGGAAGCAGCCGTCATTACTGTCTGGCCGCGACGGATATTGTTTCGAAATTGATCGGGTTTTTTGCGTAAGATTTTATTAAAGGCCTCGACCAGAACAAACACAGCATCGTACATAAGGGCTGCCTGGGCCTAAAGTAAACAAAAGTGGAAAACAAGTAAACGTTTATACAAAATTGTTGAACAACCTGTTTTAATGACGATGATGATGATGATGACTATACAGCCAATGGCCATTAAGTAAAGGTGGAGTGGGGAAGGGGAAAGCCAAAATACCTTCAAAACGGGGTGTTGTGTAAATATTTGATGAGTTATTTTTGTAAACATTCTAATATCCATTTCATGTCATAACACAAATCCCCCAAGCAAAAGAAAGACCACCGCTCATTGTTGTTGTTTCGGATTTTGCTTTTACCCTGCTCAATGACAAGGATACTACTTGTCCTCATCATCAGCACCATATTTTTGACATTTGTTGGCATTTTGGCTTTCACATTGGCAACAATAAATTAGATTCACTTCCTCCAAATGTCTATCAGACTGGCCTGTCCGTCTGTCCCTCTGTCTGTCTATTGTCAATTTATACTTACCGATATTGAATCTCGGCCCGCTCCAGTTGACACTGTCGGATCCAATCGTTTCCAGCTATCATAGAAATCCTTGACCAAACGGCGATTTGTGTCGACCAAACGGAAGCCCGTGATATTGATGGCACCAAATTCAATTATTTCGCTTTCCCAGCGATCATCCATTACCTAAATCAAAGAGGAGGCGATAACAAAAAAATAACAACAAGCCCGACAATACATAACATGAAAATGACAAAATGTGACAGCATTATATTCGGATTTTCAAGTGTTGGCATTAACATCTATATGAAAGGGAATTTTTGGGGCAGAAGGAGGATGGGTGTCCAAAAGGGATAGTTGGAATAAAAAATAAATTGCAATATTGGAAAAGGATATTTTGGGCGCACACAAGGGTATTGTTAATGTTTTTTTGTTAATAAATGTGAAGTGTTGGGCGTGAACACGTTATTTTTATTTATTTTTTTTTGTTTTTTTTTATTTCATTTTTTTTCATTAGTCGTTTTAACACCGAAACAAACATGACACCTGTCAGGATGTGATTTTTCACAGGCCGCATTTTGAGACACATATTTGACACTTTATTTCATTCTTCTTTCATGGACTCCTTGCAATACAAGTAATAACTACAGGAAGAAATTTTGAAGACTATGAAAGAAGCTAAAAGTACAAAATAAATGTGTGGGGGTATTTCCCCCTCTTCCTCATTTGTTGAAATTTTCGGATTTAACTTTCATTGGAATCCTAACATTTAAGGTATATGTGATATTCGCCAATAATACTGACAAGAATACAACGACTAATTTTTTAGAAAATATTAGTTCTCTAGCAGGTAAAAAATGGGGTTTTTACGGTATTTTTTTTAAATATGAAAAAAAAAAAAAAACGCCGAAGCAGCAGCAAGTCAAAATATTCTACATTTTTTTTTTGTCATAATTCTACTAAATACGTCACAAATCTAAATATCACATAAATGCTAAGAATTTACAGAAATAAAACATGTAAGGAAAGATCAAAAGTCGAGCGGGGCCGACAATATGATACTCTACACCACTACGCGTATTTAGTAGAGCTGCCGTAACAAAAAAAGTTTATATTGGGAATTTATATGAACTAGATCATAGCACCTATGAACCTAATTTGAGTGCGTATCATGATTTGGGATCTATATCCAACTCTGAATTGATTTTTAACAAATTTGACGGAGGCTTTTGTACCTCTAGTATCCACTACCATTACTGTACAGAGCATGGAACGGCTTCGATAAGGACTTCGATATTAAAAAAATTTTAATGGAACAATAGATATACGTGACCGAGTTTTGCCAAATGGAAAAATCCGATTGGATATGAAAAACTCTGTCCAATTTGTTCTTATATTACACATATAGTGGACAATAATCGTAATATCGGATGAAAATGTATATCGAAGGTATATAAAAATCTGAACCGATCTCGATAAAATTTGGCAGTGGTATTTTCGAGCTGTATCTGATGTCCGGTATCAAATATCATTGTTATTGAGTCCATGGCTATGGCGTAAAGCCATTGAAATTCCAAAAAGTGCAAGAACTTACAGCGCAACAGAAAGAAAATAGACTCAAAAGAGCTAAAGAGTAGCTTTGCTTGGTCGAAAGTTGTGAACTGTCGAATTTGGTTTTCTCCGATCACAAAACATTCATTGTCCAGCAGTTTGTAAACAAACAAAATGATCAGAAAATGTGCACCTTCGGTTGGCCAGCAGAACTCAAGCGCCGGCCATGGTGATGGTGTGGGCCGCCATAACAGCCGATCGTCGCTCTGCGCTCATAATTATAGACCGTGGCATCAGAATAAATGCCGAATATTATCGCGAAAATATTTTGGAGGGTGTATTAAAGCCGTGGGCACGCAAACATTTTGGCCGCAGACCTTGGACATTCCAACAGGAATTAGCACCATCGGACTCAGCACGCGCCAGCCAAGGATGGTTACAATATGAGATTCTGTAACGTGACGGGTGTCACGCACATACTGATTGTACTTAACGTAATAGGTGCTACCTATTACGTACAGTAACAGCATCGTTCTACATTTTTATTTCACTATTGTGGTCAACTAGCGCGACCAAAATACTGAAGAGCAACATTCGGGTAACGTGTGATCGTTTCATTGGCCGTTTGAAAGCCATAATACTACTATTGGTACTGAAAATGGGTTATACCGGTCCACGCTTAGGTATAGCCCACATATAGCTCTACCTCCCTATATTCGGTATTTTGAGGATTTTACCAACATTTTCACGGGAATTGTTTCAAATTTCCCAATGGGTAGTACAGGCTGTGACGGAAAATTTGGCTATGCATGTCTAGGTCTCCCTATGGCCCCTATATTAGATACTTTGCTGATTTCAACGGCATTATTCACCAGAATTTTTCAAATTTCGTATTTTTACTTCACAGTGGGTACTTCAGTCTACTACAGAAAATTGCCAATGCAGGTCCAGGTCTTCATATAGGATCTATATAAAGGTACCACCTTATATTCGGTGTTTTGCCGATTTCAGCGTTATTATTCAGCGGAATTGTTTCAAATTTCGTATTTGAAGTTCATAATGGCTACTACAACCTACGACGGAATATCTTCTATGTAAGCTCACGTCTTCATATAGGCCACACATAACGGCGCCTCCCTTTATTCGTCATTTTGATAATATTATATACATTATTCACCGGAATTGCTTCAAAATTCGCTTTTGAACCTCGAAATCGGTACAACAGTGTAGACAAAAAATTCCTTATACAGGACACGTATAGCCATATAGCCCCCATATGACAATTATCATTTGAGCGGTATTTTTGGCGGATTTTTTTTTTTTTTTTGAAAATCTTCAAGTTTCGTCCGAATGGTGGAGGGTATAAAAAGCTGTTTAGCTGTTTTTTTTGCTTGTTTTAATATAATCCATCTCGAAGTGATACCATGCACTTTATAGCAATGTTGTTTGCCTCCGCCTTCGTCAAATTTCGTGAAAATCGATTTAAAATCAGATATAGATACCTTACAATAGTTCCCCCTGAAACCAAATTATAGGTGCTTTGCTTCGTATACAAAGTGGTATAATGTATCATATAATTGACCCCACCCAAATTTTGACCTTTCCTTACTGGTTTCTTATATAAATTTTTATGGTGGCTTTTGTTGGACCACCTATTTATAAATAATTTATATTTTTTTATATAAATTATTTAATTTTTAAATTATTTTTTACTTTCCCAAAACCCCAAATCTGCTATCTGAAATTATTTCGAACATTGTCCATTTGGGTGTGTTTGCTTTCCCCGTTGTTTGTGTGGCTGACAGAAAAATGCCGTTATTTGTTAATATCCGTTTCCTGAGGATGTTTAGACGAATGTGAAAATGTTTATTTCATGTTTACCGCACAAATAATAACGGGGCTGGCATGAAACTGGCTCAGGCAACAGCAGCAAAGAGAGAAGGGCAGGAGAGAGGGATTTTGGGAGAGAGAGGGAGAGTATGGGAAGTAGTGAACAACACTTGTTTATTCTGCCATATGTCAGTTTGTGTTAATGTAAATGTATGGGTGTGTTTCGGTACTTACCAAACCACTGAGCAAATAGTGATATGTGCGGCGACCCAGTGATATGTCCCGTACATGCTGGATTAGAATCTCTTTGGCCATTTCCGTTGGACAATCGAGTACAATGTATTTGTTGGTGAAACGACTCAACTCCTCCAGTGTGTGCAGGAAATCAATGGCCATGGTAACATTGGCAATGCGCTTAACCATCTCAACTTGAAATGATTCATTTCCGGGCTTTAAGCCCTGGTAGATTTGCTGCAACCGCAGAAGACCTTGAATGGAAGAGAGAAGAAAAAATGGAAAGAGAGAGAAAATGTGTTAGTGATGTTTGGTAACAAATGCAAGGGGGATGGAGGAAAGGGATTATTCTAAACATGTCCATTTTTGTTAACCCAAATTGGAGAGTAGAACAAACCCTGTTAAAATGTCACAATGACAAGAAATTTTTGTTTCTACACAAAACAAAGAAAATCAAACATAACAAAAACAAAAAACACAAAAACAAGAATTATAGACAAAAGCAAAGGAAGTAGCTGCAAAAAAATATAGAAGAGAAGACAATACCCTGAACCAAATGAATGGCGTCAAATCTAATCAAAGACTCATTTATTTCAATTTTGCTATGAAAGTCGATAGCCATTGTTTCCAATTGCTCTGTGTGCATGTGGCTCTGTGTGTATTTCTGTCATGTAACCTTCATGGGAATGGCCATTGCATGGCACTGACTTGCATCCTGCCAACATTGATATCCACACAACGTCGACGACTCACGCTTCCTGCCAAAGGGGTTTTTTTGCTCTTCCATTTTTGTGAATTTAGTTTTAGTTGGGCTTGTCTTCAAAGACATCCCAGCAACGTGATTGTTGTTAGGAGACTGCCAGTCCTCTGCTGGGCATGGAGTAAATCTGTGTCCTTCCTCTAGTCCCGTCAAAAAACAATAACCATTCACCCGAGTTCGTGTTACCCTTGAGTTTTTAAAAATGCATTGTCTTACCAAATGTTGTTAGTTTGGAGCACATTTTCTTTTTCCATTTTTTTCTGCACTTTTTTATACCCTCCACCATAGTATGGAGGAGGGTATATTAAGTTTGTCATTCCGTTTGTAACTTCTCGAAATATACATTTTAGGCCCCACAAAGTATTAATATTCTCGATTAGCATAAAATTCTATGTCGATTTAGTAAATTTTTATCAACCTTCTTCATTTCGTTCGGAAGCTACAGTGATTTCCACAGACGGACGGCTTAAGACAGATGTCCGCCCGTCTGTGGAAATCACTCTAGCTTCTGAACGAAATAAAGTAGGTTGATAAAATTTTACACAAATGTGTATTATGTATGCAGGACTTTTGGTATTGAAAATGGGCCATGTAGGTCCACGTCTTCGTATAGCCTCCATATAACGGTACCTCCCGATATGCGGTATTTTGTTGATTTTAGCGACATTGTATACCGGAATTTTTTAAAATTTCGCATTTGAAGTTTCTAATGGATTCTACAGCCTATGACAGAAAATTATCTATGTGGGTCCACGTTTTGGTATAGCCCCCATATAAGGGTACCTACCGACATTCGATATTTTGATGATTTTAGGGACATTATTTTCCGGAATTGTTTCAAAATTGGTATTTAAAGTTCGTAATAGATACTACGGCTTACGACAGAAAATTGGTCATGTAGGTCCACGTCTTCATATAGCCTCCATATAACGGTACCTCCCGATATGCGGTATTTTGATGATTTTAGCGACATAATTTACCGGAATTGTTTCAAAATTGGTATTTGAAGTTCGTAATAGATACTACGTCTTAAGACAGAAAATTTGCCATGTAGGTCCACGTCTTCGTATAGTCCCCATATGGCTGTACCTCCCGATATGCGGAATTTTGATGATTTTAGCGACAATATTCCTCAGAATTATTTCAAATCTGGTATTTGAAGTTCGTAATGGATACTACATCCTACGACAGAAAATGAGCCATGTAGGTTCACGTCTTCCTATAGCCCCCATATAACGGTACCTCCCGATATTCGGTATTTTGTTGATTTTAGCGACATTATTCACCGGAATTGTTTCAAATTTGGTATTTGAAGTTAGTAGTGAATACTACAGCTTATGACAGATAATTGGCTGTTTTTATCCACGTCTTCGTATAGCCCCCATATGCCGGTACCTCCCGATATGCGGTATTTTGATGATTTTAGTGACATTATTTACCGGAATTGTTTCAATTTTGGTATTTGAAGTTCGTAATGGATACTACAGCCTATGACAGAAATTTGGCTGTCCGGGTCCACGTCTTCATATAGCCTCCATATAAGGGTACCTCCCGATATGCGGTATTTTGATGATTTTAGCGACATTATTTACCGGAATTGTTTAAAATTTAATATTTTTAGTTCGTAATGGATACTACATCCTACGACAGAAACTTGTCTGTGCGGGTCCACATCTTCGTATAGCCTCCACATACCGAAACCCCCGATATTCGGTATTTTGATGATTTTAGCGACATTATTTACCGGAATTGTTTCAAATTTGGTATTTGAAGTTGGTAATAGATACTACAGAATATGACATAAAATTGTCTGTGCAGGTTCACGTCTTCGTATAGCCTCCATATAACGGTACCATCAGATATTCGGTATTTTGTTGATTTTAGCGACATTTTTTACCGGAATTGTTTCAAAATTGGTATTTGAAGTTCGTAATAGATACTACAGCTTAAGACGGAAAATTGGCCATGTCGGTCCACGTCTTCGTATAGCCCCCATATAACGGTATCCGATATTCGATATTTTGATGATTTTAGGGATATTATTTACCGGAATTGTTTCAAATTTCGCATTTGAAGTTCGTAATGGATACTACAGCCTATGACAGAAAGTTGTCTGTGCAGGTCCACGTCTTCGTACCTCCTCCCCACATTCGGTATTTTGATGATTTTAGCTACATTATAAACAGGTGTTTTTTTTTCAAGTTTCGCATTTGAATATTGTAATAGCTTGTGATAAAAGTTGCCTATGCAGGTCCACGTTGTCGTATAGACCCTAATATACAGCTACATTCGATATTTTTAAGATTTTTACGAAATTTTTAACTTATTTTATTGTTTTGGAAAATTTCGAAATTTTTACCAAATGGTGGAGGGTATTCAATGTTCAGCCCGGCCGAACTTACAGCTTTTTTATTTGTTGTTGTTTTTTTTGGACTTCACTTCATTCAAAAATAGTCACAGGATATGTACCTACAACATGTCACTTTTCTCCAGTGTTTGCCGCCCACTCCTTGCCTGTGATCCAAGAAAACTAGCAAAGTGGTTACCATCAACACGTCCTTTGTTATGTTTAATCAATGCTGATGACAATAATCTTCTGATGGGCACGAGGTGATGCTGGTCATGGTGCACACACATGATGATGGCTGCAATGCTGCTGCGGACAATGGTGATGTTTGGCTTTGAAGATGAGCGTGTTGTCATAGAGAAGTTCTACGGCTGGATATTGTATTGTGTGTTGCTGTTTTCTTTGAATCCTAACAAAACAATCGAATTTTCTTCTACCTCGGTGTTTATCCTTGACTTTTTGCTACATGTAGAAGAGTTGGCTGTCAGCTTTGGGGAATAGAAAAAAAATCTGATTCCTTTTCCTATTGTACTTCGTAATTTTTATGTTAGACAATATTCGTCTCATAACAATGAGATCGGAAAAAAATTATACAGGCCTGGTTCATTTTATTATAACCAAAGAAAAATAAGGTAAAGAAGTTTTCCATTGACTTAAATATTAGAAATTAGAAAATAATAAGCATTCGGTTGAAAATTCCAAAAGAGGGGAATTAGTGGGCAATATTTACAAACGAGTCCAGTTCATAGTCCGGTACACCACTTCCTAAACGTATGAGTGATTTCATATATATCATATCACTCATACGCAGGGTTTTCATAGAAACGACTGGAGCCCACGGAACTAGATAAGGAACTACCCAGCGAACTAAATGTTGGACGTCCGATGCGTCTGCTCAAAGTCTGAAGTTTTCTTCGATGCTTCTGATCGACGTAGGTCCGAATTCTGAGTAATTTGTCAAATGTTTCTTTACCCTACACCACATAGTGACAAGGGTATTATGTCTTTGGGCATTTGTTTGTAACATGGAGAAGGAAGAGAGATAGACCCATAGTCACTTTTGAGGCTCTTCATAGAATCACTTTATGAGTCGATTCCAGCATGTCAGTCTGTCCTCTGTCCTTCCATATTTACATGTACTTTCGTAAACAAAATGCAGGTCGAAATTTAGTATACGATTACGATGAAAATTATTGGGTCAAGCAAAGTCAAAGGACGAACCACCACGTGGCCAATATCAGTCCAAATGACGAATGAATTTGGGTACATTCGACCGAATTCAGTCTAGCAGCAAGTACAGCAAATTTGGTGAAAATCGGTTAAGATATACCTAGGGCTCCCATATATATGATTCATCTGATTTGGGGTTTTAAGCCCGTCACATGCTTAATATGCTCTCCACCACAATAATCTTTGGTGGCAGATATCACATACAGCTCAGAAATAAACGCCTAAAATGTTGTCAAGATCGATTCAAGTTTGGATATAGCTCCCATATATATCTTTATCCGATTTCAGGTTGGTATTGTGCACCAAATGTCTAATATTAGCCTAAATGGAATGTATTTAGACAAATTCGACGGAATTCATCCTAGTAACAAGTACTTCAAATTTGGTGAAAATCGGTTCAGATATAGCTATAGCTCCCACATATACAGGGTGAGATAAGAAAAAACTGTAACAAAGACAAACGCCATAATTTTTACATTTTTTTTAAATATTATTAAATGAAAGCAAAAAATGTCGGAATAGCATCAAATTTTAGAAAAAGTTTAGATTTGTTAGAATTAGTCACCTTTGGCATGAATTATGGCCTTCAGACGGCTAATGAAACCATCACACGCTGCCTCTTACGGCATTTTGGCCCATACCCGGCAAAGCGCTTGCTTGAGGTGATCGACACTATATTTTTAGTGCCAACCTGGCTTTCCAATATACTCCAGACACAATGGATTGGTAACGGATTGGTATCCGGAGATTTTGGTGGCCATTGTGCGTTGGAAATGAAGTGAGGAACCTCATAATGTAAAAATTCGTCGGTGGCGCGTGCTAAGTTCGATGGTGATGAGTCCTATTGGAATGTTCAAGACCAAAATGTTTGCATGTCCAAGGCTTTAATACACCCTCCAGCATGTTTTCGCGATAAT